TAAATGGAGGCTGATGCACTCAGACTCTGAATAATGGAAGACAAAATGCCCCCTACTAAGGCTGTTTCGTGCTATGTGGATACCGTGAGTACACAACAGGAGAAGAGTTTCATAATGAAGTTATACCAGGAAAGACTGACAAGTGGAAGATGAGGCAGCCCTACACATAGAGAAGCACCTATATTACAACTGGCACTGATTATTGGACTCATTTAAATGTAAATTTAAATTCTGATCTGACATTTCACATACTTTTGCATACACTGAACACATTTAACATCTGACCTAGATGACCATACCTGGGTAAATATTGGGCCAATTAGAGTTCAATTTCTCTCTTTCTTGAAAGATTCTTCAGAAAAGACTGTAACTGCAGGACTGTAATGTGCGTGTATGTACATTCGTCTCAGAGTATTTCCATATGGAAAATGTATAAATGAATAAAGGGGTTGTGAGGAAAGCAGTTCACCACAAAACAGCTGGAAAAATCTCCTCAGCACTTCTTCAACAAACAACTCCAATTCCTTCGCTTCTCCCTGAGGAGATTTACCCCATGTTCCATCCCTCCCTCCGCCGTACTGTCTGATTGCTGTGGACCTTTATGCATTGTGAGGCAGATCTTTATCTATAATGGCAGGTTATTGATATAGATATATCATTTCTGCTGAGCGTAATTCAGTAGCTCTACAAACACAGTCAAGTGGGCCTGTTTTCTGTCTCTAGGTTTCATTATCATTCTTCTCTCAGGACATTTTAAGCATTCATAATTCTCAACAACTTTGCTGTAGTCTCTTGAGTAGATTATACAGTATAGTTTGATTAACTGATTCATGCGAATGTCTGGCTGTGTAACTATGCTTTCTTCCAGGGATCAACATGGCTCAAAGAATTGCGTCATGAGGTTTTTTTTTTTAACTTAATGGACTTGTAAATCCAGAGGTTTATAGTCAGTAGAGCAGATATCAGAAAAGCTGGTGTTAGGTCACCATTGGACTGATTTCCTGGAACGTGTGTGTGATAAAGGAAAAACTTAAAGGGACCAAAGTCTTCATTAACATTCTGATGCATCAGGGTGCTCATAACCAAAATAGATTTGTAAGTTTTCATGCTTGTCTAACCTAATCAGTTGTATTCCCTGCGTATGAGTGCACCTGTTTATTGTTACATTCAACTCAGATTGGGACAGTGATAGCTTTTTAACATTCGGTGGCCTCCCATATTGTCATCTGGACCTCATCATTTGCGTTTCCACCCCAGTAACAATTAAGATCTTTTCCAAACTTTAAAAAGGTTTTATACAAGTAGTCCATATGTGCTGTATTCATAGTCTTCTGAAGCCACGAGACAGGGTTGTGTGAGAAACAGACCAAAATTCAAGCTGTGAATGTGAACAAAGTATTTTTTTAAGTTGATTCCGTCCACAAAACAGGTCTGAATGATTCATTCACAAGTTCAACTCACTGACTGATTGAACTGGTCACAACAGTTCACAGCTTACAGGAGAGGAAGATTATCAATGAATAACAACTCAAATTGCAGTCTGTTGTTCACACACAGCATTGTATGAATAAAGAAGAACAAGAGTTATATTAACTGCTTTTATTTAATCTTTTCTGTGCTTTTGTGGCCTTTTTGAAGCTTAAAAGTTTCAGTCATCATTCATCATAATTGAAAAAAAAATTCTTCAGCATTTCTCCATTTGAGAATGAAAGTCAGGTTTGGAATGACCTGAGGGTGAGTAGATGACAGAATATAAATTTTTGGGTGAACTATTATTTTAATATGATGCTTTTTTTCTATGAAGTGTGCATATTGTACATGCCACTGTTTGCATGTACCTGTCCTCTCAGAGGTGTTCTAAAAGATTCAGTAGAACATGATGTCGGTGTATTCTGTTTCATGGCCGAACTGGCCATGTTCCTCCAGCATCTGTATCTTTTATGAGCGTCTTGCTCAAAAGCTTCAGTAATTGAGTCTTATTGCCCTGCAGAAAATTCCATGGATTAATGATGAAATAACTTTTCTCCCATTATTCTTCCCTCAAAAGATTAGAACTGGCCTGGAGTTCCAGTTCACGCAAGGTTCGTTGCATTTCAGTCAGTGCCCGTTTTATCCATGCCAAGCTGATGGCACAAATTCAATCTAACCACAGAGGAACTGTGTGCCGCTTTCATTTACTCAAGAGGCCCGCCCAAGGGCGACTTCAGTAGTATTTATGATGCATCCTGTGAGTGAAAAGTCTGGCAGAGGTGTGCAACTCACAACATGATTCTCAGTCATGGGCTGTATGCTCATTTTATGCAAGCTTAAACTGATGTTAAAGTTAAAACTTTCTATGAAAAATACTAGGAAGCTAACATCACCTATAGACCCCTGTTATTAAGATCATTAGCAGGGTAACAGTAGGGGAAGTTCTCCAGGAGCTGGCATCGTTCCATCCACTGGGGTTTAAGAGACGGGCTAAGTGTGGAGAGAGAGAGAGCCGGCCCCCTTGTAGTGGATATCTGTAGGAGGAACATTGGGGGAACCAGGTTCAAAGGGGTACAGGGCGTCTGAGAAGACGTACTGAAGACCATAAAATTAAAGCACTCTATAAAGAATAGATTGTAGTGGAACAACTTCAAGTGTAGTGGAATACAAGACTCCTTTTCTTTCTCTCACACAAACAATCTAATTTTCTCCCTGTTTTTCTCCACTCTAGCTCATGTTCTGCTTTTTACTGGAGTTTGAAGGAGAGCTATTATTCCACAGGACCTTCATCCCTGTATCAATGAGATGGAAGGGCACACATCCGTACTGTAATAACTGAAGATACATCACTGCGGTATTCCCTATTATTTCATGCTCACAGACAAATACCGGACTAAGAGACTATTTGGCAAGATTTAATGTTGTAAAAAACACATGTGAGCGTCTTGAAATGTTTGTGTTGTGTGGGGTGTGTCTGTTAGTGTGTGGCTATATGTGTTTGCTTAAGAGCCATATGGTGAAATGAAAGAGTGTCTGTACAGTGTCTGTAAAAATGATGAAAGACGGATGTTAATCCAACAAGGCCGAGCAAACGAGGCTTTCCATTGCCGAAGCTCTGATGTGATCCTCTGTGATCCAAGTTCTGGAGTGGATTTGAGAATCCATCTTCATCCATCATATATGACATCACCGTTTTGTGACAGTTCCACAAAATGTTTGTCTTTTGGTTTTCTTGGAATGTGTGGTTCATTAATGCCTGGGGCTTTATAAACGTGGAGAGAGTATATAAGTGTGAGCTCACTCTTCACCCTCTGACTGTCTCTACAGGGGCCCTCGCAGGAAAGTAGCACATCCTGATGCCAAAGCAGAACAGCTTCTGCTCAGACTCACGCTCTGTCAGGACCTTTCGTCATCACTCAGCCATCCTCTTTAGGTAATCGGCATATGGATCTGGGAGACCTGTTTCTGAGAATCAAGACCTCCAGTATAAAGAGAGTACCCTCTTTTCAGAGGCCTGTCAGACACACCTCAAGACAAATTGAAGAGAGAAGCATGCAGGGTGGTGATCTGCAGTGTCTGCTATTGTCTCAAGTGAGGATGCTGACATTCTTGGCTTTTAGCTCTTCTCATATACTTATATGACACATTGCTGTTTATGTATTTTTAGTATTAAAGGGGTCATATGATGCGATTTCAATTTTTCCTTTCTCTTTGAAGTGTCACAAGCTCTTGGTGCATAAAGAAGATCTGTAAAGTTGCAAAGACTAAAGTCTCAAATCCAAAGAGATATTCGCATTTCCGTCACACGCTTGAGGTATTCGGCCAATCACAACGCACTGGATAGCTGGCCAATCAGAGCGCACCTCGCTTTTCAGACCGATGAGCTTTGTAAAAATCGACGTGTTTCAGAAAGGCAGGGCATAGAGGAGAAATGTTTTAACCTTAAACCGCATAAACACATTTCATTACACCAAATACACAAAATAATGTTCTTTTTAGCAACATCATATGACCCCTTTAAACTGAGACAAGTGTGTGTCATTGCAAAAGAGAGAAAAATATAAAGATACAAACATTTATAGATGCTTCTGGGAAGTGAATGATAAATGCACAATGTACATTAAAATACAAATATACACACAATGAATGTATGTATTGTCACAATAATAATTGTTATTCTCAATTTAATGGGTTTTCTTAAGTTTATTTTCAACTCAGCAAAGAAACTTAAGTTTTTAATATTTCATTTGTCTCAATCATTTCACAGTTATTTATTCTCAGTTTTTTTTTTGGTTATCAATGTTTCAACTCAGCAAATAAACTGTATATTTTTAATAATGTATTGGCTTGACTTTTGTGCAGTGAAAAGGATCAGATTTCCATCTATTAATTTTTCAGCATTTTTGTGGCAGTGTTGCACTTAATTTTTCTCCTGGTTTGAATGTTTTTTACAGTCTATGGTTTGAACACACAAAACTGGACACCGTTCTGCCTTTATTCTGTAATGGATAGTAGGCCTACTGCTAAAATCGTTTTTTTTTATATATATATATATAAAATATAGAGCAGCCTACATACAAAATGTAAATTCTCCACAATATATAAAAAGATTTAATAATTGTTTAATAATAAATAATTTATTTGTATTTATTCAATATATGTTTCATACTTTATCTATATCATCTACTGTAATTTTTATGAGTTAGGGTTAGATAGAACTTGTTCTTAATAAGTGCAATGATCTTATCACAGCAAGCTGTAATTTTGGCACCACTTTGATTTTAATTTAGTTTAGTCTAACGTCCAGCCAATTTCTAAAGTGTGTTTTGTAGCTTTCAGGAGCCCTTAAAGCTCGTGAGAACTCGCGGAATTTTAATGACAACCCCTGTAATGTGTGCTGGCAGTTATGTGTGCAGCCTTTTAAGTGAAGGGGTGACGGGCTTGTAATTTGAGAGTCTGACCGGGGTTATTATTATCTAAACCTAGCGCAGAGTCTGAACGCTCCAGATGTTGAAACAGCCACAAGGAAGGACGAGGGTCTCCTGTTGATTTAGCCAAAAACACAGGAACAGGAAATTTGCAATCTCAAACCGCGGACGATTCTGTGTGATTTAGCTGTTTTCGTGTTCGGGATTGCTCGGCATTTCACGCTCTGGACATGCGTGGGGCTGGAGCAGGATAGGGCTTGTCTAAAGTTTGAACAGCAGAGCTGAAGGTACAATTGACTGATAAGGCAGAGGTGGGATGATGAGTATGATGGCTTCCCCTCTGTTCCTACTGATAGCCTGTCTGGTCTCATCGCGTGTCGGAGGGGCTTTCTTCTCGGGACCCCTGCACCCGGAGATGTCCAACGGCACTTTTCATCATTATTTCGTGCCGGACGGCAACTATGAAGAAAACGACGATCCCGAGAAATGTCAGATGCTGTTCAAAATGACCGACAATCGCAAATGCACCTTGGACGAGGACCAGGACTCGGTGATCCGGGACGATTTTATCATCATCAAGCGGCACATCGAGGACGCGGCGCGAGTGCTCGAGGGCATCGGGAAGAGCATCTCCTTCGACCTGGACGGAGAGGACAGCTATGGGAAATACCTGAGACGGGAGACGAGCCAGATCAGCGGGGCGTTTTCTAACTCCGAGAAGTCTCTTCTGGAGCTGGAGGTGAAATTCAAACAGAGCCAGGGAAACGAGCTGAAAGAGGAGCACAAGATCAGCGACGACTTCCTCGACATGATCGTACACACGCGCGACGTGCTGAAAGAGACACTGGACATCTCGCTGGGACTGAAGGACAAGCACGAGCTGCTGTCGCTCATCATCCGGAGTCACGGGACCCGGTTAAGCCGCCTGAAGAACGAGTATATGAAGGCGTAGAGGACTGTTTGTCTGCCTTCAGTACGCAGGCAAATCTCAATCTGTCTCTATGGGAAGGCATTTTAACATTAATTCCTTCAAATTAAGTAGTAATTTACTTGTAGCCTACTTGTTTTTAGTAGCTAATTCCACCCATTGTTATCTTTTTCAGTTTATTTAAAAATAAACAATTCACATATATTAGCCTAAAGTTACTAATAACTATCCCAATTGTCCTGATTTAATAGTACTGTAGCTATAGTGCACTATCTATTCAGTACAAAGTCATATCTATGAGACATTAGTGTCGATCATAGTTGATACTATCGCACTAGTTACAGAACACACACTGGTCTAATAAATAGGTAGCTTGTATGTAGGCTATTCAATTGGTACTATGAAACTGGAATATATATATATACACAAGAACTTAAGTGCATAGTGAAAAGTTACTAATAACTATCCCAATTGTCCTGATTTAATAGTACTGTAGCTATAGTGCACTATCTATTCAGTACAAAGTCATATCTATGAGACATTAGTGTCGATCATAGTTGATACTATCGCATTAGTTACAGAACACACACTGGTCTAATAAATAGGTAGCTTGTATGTAGGCTATTCAATTGGTTCTATGAAACTGGAATATATATATACACAAGAACTTAAGTGCATAGTGAATACTTACTTATTAAAGCTGAACTATACCAGCTAAATTTGGAACACATACCAGTCAGAAGTGAATTGTTAATGTCTGAACCATGGATCCCTATAGAATTCACTGGAAAAAATAGGAAAATATTTGGAATTGTTTCTTGTCACTATCACAGTAAGTAACAGAAAATACTTAATATTAGACGTAAAATATATGAATCACTATTGTAAATAAGTAGGCCTACTAAAATAAGTACTAGTAACATAACAATATATTACTTATTTTGAAGGAATAAATGTTATTTTTCTGTAGCTACTTGGCAAAAGTGATGCAGCTATTCTGTGCAATAAATGAAAGCCAGTATTCACTTAATAGCAGCAAACATAAATGATGGACAGCCATTAAATGCTTTAAACTTGACAATATTAATACCATTGAGTTCTAGTCATTAATGACATTTGCAGCTTATGCTAATATGACTGGAATCTCAGTCTAACCAATATAGAGTCTTTACCTCTCAGAGGAGACATACAAAACACTGAGTTAGAGTCGGCGTTGAGTTTTTCACCATTTTCTCAGATAATGATGTAGGGTATATTTGAAGAAACATTTGCTAATTTGCATTGCCATTACTTGAATGTTTCAGAGAAAATTCATGTTGGTTAAACAAGGAATATAGTTTTCATTGTACAAATGTTAGCTGTCATATTCTTACTTAGGTTATGTAAGAGCATGTATACTTGGAATAGTTTTTAAGCATTCAGTCTGACAATCCTCCAAAAGATAATGGCATGAACATACTAAAAACATACATTTTATTATTATTGATTTCTATGATACACTTGGAGGAATAAAAACACATTTGATCTTATTTGTACATGTAATTACTTTTTGTGTGCCCTAAGAAATATATTTTATAATGAGCTTTTAAAATATTAAACTGTGAGTGTTTATATTTATGAAAAAGTGTAACTATATTCATTTTATGAAACTGTACATGTTGCATTAAGTTTTCTTGTAATCCTCTGAGAAGTAATGGGAAAAGGACCATTGGGATGACATATTCCAGACAAACCAAGATGACTGCGGGCAGGATTATTGGGCTTGAAGCATTCTATGTGTAGTTCCATTCCTGAGATACACGTTGTGTATATTCCTTTTTGTAATAAAAATCTTCAAGATAGTTTGTGTGTGTGCGAGAACTGCATTGTTTTAAAACATAACAGACCAAGAAAGATTTAAAGTAATAGTTCAGAGGAAAATGAAAACTCATTCATCATTTACTCAGCCTTATATGTTGTTCGAAAAACTGGATGACTTTTTTCATATATATATATATATATATATATATATATGAACAAATCATTAACAAATCGTTCTTTTGAGATGGTTGATCTGATTCACTAAATGATTAATTCACAAATTGGACTGAACTGGATCTTGAGTTTAACTCACTGACTCGATGAACAGCTCACTGGAGAGGGAAGATTGTCAGTGAATTATGTATTTTGGTTTGTTTCACAAATATGTATCTTAAATTAGTGCACAAGTTGTTTGGATCACAAAATTCATTGAGTTTATTTTAAATTAAGAGTTAATTCCAACACTGATGTCAAAACTATTCAGAGGCCTCAAAACTTTGAATTTGCCATTTGTCCATTAAAAGAATTATATTGAGATGACACATTATGAATTAAAGTCACAAAGATAATATTTTTTGGCATAAAACTACTTTGTGATAAATTCATTCGTATACACAGGTTGGTGCAGAGCTATTAAGGTATGAGCAGTATGATAGCTACTCTAAGCATATGCAGGTGTCACTTTGTTTCATGTTAAAACACTGAAACAGCTGTTGCAGGACACCAACCTCCTCGACATAGCTGGAGTCCTCCTCATAAACAAGCGTTACAAGACAACCAGAGTAGCTATTGAGGTATTGGATGATCTCTCAGTTTGAGTGAGAGAGAGGAGGGTGGAAGGGAGGGGCGGGGAAAAGAGAGAACATTTTCAATTGATAAGGGGAACCCCAAAACTATATACTGTATATTTATATATATAGAGAGAGAGAGTTTAGAATAATAATAATAATAATGTCTATTATTATTATTATATAATTTATATTTTTAACTTATTTGGAAGGGTCATGAATAATAATGTTGAACTCTGCTCTGATTGGCTGTTTCACAGTGTGGCTCAATGTTGAGCTCTGCTCTAATTGGCTGTTTCACACTGCGGCTCATTTCAGTAGCTCATACAGCAGGACGGAAACACAGGGAAAATATATATTTCAATACTGTCTCTCGCAGTTTTATCGTTGGGTAATTATACTGTATATAAAATGCGGGCATCAGGGAGCCGCATATTAATATGCGGGGCATTGAAACTGCGTTCGAATGCAAGATCACTTTACTTTCACTTTCGAGATTTGCGATGGCACGTGCTCTGTGTAAACTACAGCGGCAGTACTTACCACACATTTTGCGTGTGCAGAGCAGGGGGACTCGAGGAACAGTATTAAAAACCGCTGATTTAGAACATTGATTTTGAAACTTGTGAATCCATTAGAATCGTTAGAAGACAGAATCGCGATTCATATATGAATAGATTTTTACGTGCACCTCTAGTTTTCTCTTCCTCTTCTCTAAAGCAGCGCAGCATGGCCTCGCCCACTTCGTTGCATGTTCCCGGGGCCGGGGTTTATCAAGGTTTGTGACGTCACGAACCCGGGAAGTAACTCGTTGTAGTCCCTAACAGCCGTTTTTGTAGGCATTAAACTGCCAGAATTTTAAAAGATGATATCTCAGTTTGCATTGAACTTTCAGCTTCGTAACTTTGCAGATATTGTTTATGCTCAAACAGCTACACACTAACTAACGTTAAAAAAGTGAAATCGCAATGAACTACCCCTTTAAATATTTTAGTGAATAAATTCTGTGTGAATAAATTCTGAACATAAAAATACTAGTTATTTATAAATTCTCTCTAGACTGTTTTATTTGGTCTGTTATTGTGTACTAACTGTAACTGGCAATCAATCATTAAAGATGTGCTGACCCAATAATCTTCAAAAAGGAAACAAGGGGTAGTCAGGGGCATGTCTGTCTGTGACCTAAACATTGCCATTATTATATAATTAAAAAAAAAACATAATTAAAACCCCCATGTACATCTATCTATCTATCTATCTATCTATCTATCTATCTATCTATCTATCTATCTATCTATCTCTCTGTCTGTCTGTCCCCGCCACCACCCCTTCTGATAGATGGATACTATCTATCTATCTATCCATCTATCTATCTATCTATCTATCTATCTATCTATCTATCAGTCTGTCTATCTGTTATCTATATCTATTATCAGTCTGTCTGTCTGTCATGGACACAGGCCTACTTCATACTGTAGGCCTACTATTTGTAATTATTTTAAGTGATATATAATTAATAATTAATATATTTTTAAATAGTATGCAATATAGTAGGCCTTGGAAACAGTGTAGTATCTCTATGCTCTCAAACTTTCCTGAGGATGGTACTCCCCTAGTTATGCTTGGAGACTTCAACATCCACCTAGATAAACCTCAGGCTGCAGACTTCCACACTCTGCTTGCTTCTTTTGATCTCAAGCAAGTATTAACTACGGCTACTCACAAATCAGGCAACCAACTGGACCTTATTTACACACGACACTGCTCCACTGATCATGTGCTGGTTACTCCACTACACACCTCGGATCACTTCCTCCTCACTCTTAACCTCAACATGGTTCCTGACACAACACATACCCCTACATATATATATATATATATATATATATATATATATGTATGTGTGTGTTTGTTTTGTTAGTTTTGACTGCTTTTATTGTCCTCATTTGTAAGTTGCTTTGGATAAAAGCGTCTGCTAAATGACTAAATAAAAAATAAATAAATAGTATGTCCACATGACAACTGCAATAACACGTAGATACAAAAACAAGTATCGAACAGAACAGTTGTCGAGCAAAGCTGCACGTAATTTTGGCTACGCACACATCATGATGATATTACAGTGTGCAGCAGCAGCAGCAGCACCGCTACAGTGCATGTGACCCTTCACCCACTTCCAGCGCAGTGAGTTCTCACGCTTCTCAGCGCTATATAAGGCTGAAATAACCGAGCCTATCAAACCCGCTTCTTCACGGTAAGTGCCATATGCCGTTTTTATTTTCCCACATGTCTCATCAAATTTAAATGACGTGAATGAAATTGAGTGGCTTGCCTATAGTAGGCTACGGGACGTGTATCAGGCTGATGAATAAAAGATCGCTTTGCGTAGTTGTGTTTGTTGTAGTTGTGTCATACTTGTGATTTCCTCATGGCGCGTGTAATATTTTATGAATGGAAACCTCTAGTGTAGACCTCCTTTAGTTATACGCTCCATAGATCATATACGAGAGAACTAAAAATACCCGGAAACAACAAGGCAGATGCACATTTAGCTATCAAGTCCAAATAAAGGCAATAAATGCTGTAGTTGGTTTGGTTTCTATTTCATTGGCAACTACAGTGCTACGTGCTGTAACGCTGGAGGCGGTATAATCGATGTGTTTCTTTGCAGGGGAATGAAGTGGTGACCTTTCACCTACTTCCGTGTTCCTGAGATATATGAGCTAAGGTGTTTGTTCATTACATAACCAATGCTCAAAGGTCTGTTTAGGGTACAGTGATTATATCATGATATTTATTTTATATCATGGACCCACAAATGTGATTGTCGCATTGCTGCCTGATAGACAAGCTATTTGTATAAAATCCTATTTGTAATGTGTGAGAAAAATAGTAAGCATTATATTTCTAAAGATAACATGTTGTTTGCAAAAATGAATAATTGATATTTGTACAGTCAAAAAGTCTATCTTTGTATTAAGCTGACAATGTATCCTTTTTCTAGACAAAATAATGCATAATGTCAGATAGTATCTAGCATATAAATCTCACAAGAAACTATGGCTGCCAACAGAATAAAATAAATAAATGATAATCAACGGTTTGCCATGCATTAAAGGATTTTAAATGCACGACGTGGAGGCCAAGAACCACCCGACGTGAAGCAAGTCCAGCTGAAGTGCAGAGTTCAATAAGTCATAGTCATAGTTTGATTAGTATGGCAGTGCTAAAGTCATCAGGTCACCTTAGCCCTAGATTAGCTTTGCTTTTATCTTGGTTACTTTGACATAATACTGTTTGTAGTGTTGTCAAAGTTATGCACCCTTACAGTCATTCAGATCATTCAGATCTGGATGACGTAATTGCATTTATCAAGAACTATCCCAGCTTTTGGCCTGCCAAACAAACAGCACAAGTCAGTCAACTGCCTTCTGTAAGAGAGTCAAATAAATAAATAAAAACAACTCCAGACTGGCTTGTGATTTTGTAGGGAACAAGCCTAATATGAAGAGAACACACACTTACAAATTTTTATTTATATTTCTATTACACTACCGTTCAAAAGTTTGGAGTCACTGTGATTTTTTTTTTTTTATTTTTTAAAGAAATGTATACAGTTATTCAGCAAGGATGCATTAAATTAATCATAAGTGACAGTAAAGACATTTATAATTTCACAAAAGACTTCTGTTTCAAATAAATGCTATTTTTTATTTTTTATTAATCAAATAAATCCTGAAAAAAAATGTGTCATAGTTTCCACAAAAGTATTAAGCAGCACAAATGCTTACAACATCTACATAAATTATTTCTGAATGATCATGTGACTCTGAAGACCGAAGTAATGGCTACTGAAAATTCAGATTTGCCATCACAGGAATAAATTAAGTTTTAAAATATTTTAAAATAGAAAACAGTTGTTTTTAATTGTGATAATATTTCACAATATTCCTGTTTTTACTATATTTTGATTAAATGGTCAGCATAAGAGACTTCTTTCAAAATCATCAAAAAATCTGACCAACCCCAAACTTTTGAATGGCTGTGTAATCATTCTGGAAGCGGTCTGGCGACTACACAGCAGAACCCTTTTTAGTTTCTTTGGAACTCTTTATTAAATCGAAAGGTTACTTTTGAATACAGATATTCAGTGACTCAATGACTGAGAGTTAATTTTTATGGTAATCAAGATTTATTTATTCAAAAACCAAAACAATTTCATAAAATGTGACATCTCTAAAGACTGAAAAAATGGATTTGCAGTTGCTTGATAGCAGTTTGTTATATGTTACTTGACACACCTGTGTGCTGCTCACATCAATCATATTGTGGCTACAGCACATTCTGCTGTGATGACTCATCTAATTATTGGGTGAAAGGTGACATGAAGGAGTGTGCCTGTTATATGAAAGCAATAACCTCATACTTTCTGTGTCCTTAGACTAGCAGCAACTGCTCACAAGTCAGGATGTTATCCTATCTTACTCGCTGGGTGTCTAGAGGTGCTTTCCAGGCACTGAAGGGGACAAGCATTCGGCCTCAATTGGTCAAGACACCTCATATTGGGAATCAGACACTGGCAGCAGCCCCTCTGCCCTTCACTGGGGGGAGTCCAGGAGTAAGGCAGGCCCGGGCACTGGACCAGGAGAGACTACTGCAGATTGATTGGGATGATGGGAGTTGTAGTTTGTATCCATTCACCTGGTTAAGGGATAACTGCCAGTGTCCTCACTGCACACTGCAGTCAGCACAAGCACGCAGTCTGCTGTTCACAAATCTGGACGTGCACACAGGAATGGACCAAGTACAGCTGATGGACAATAAGGTTGGTCTTTGTAAGCAAAGCTTAAAGGGATAGTTCATCCTAAATAGAAATTTGTCATCATTTACTCATTATGTCATTCCAAATGGATATGACTTTCTTTGGTGAAACAACATTTTTTTTTGCAGAATGTCCATGCTGCTTTTTTAATACAATGAAAGCGGAAGTGGAAGTGGAATAGAGCTGTTGCATTATGCATTGCATAAACGTTGCATTCAGGGATGTTCATATTAACCGTTAACCGAAAGTAAAAAAATTGACCAATTAATACTATCAGTTTAAACGGTTTAAAAGGTATTTTTTAAAGTATCTCCCCCCCCCCCAAAAAAAGTATGCTTTACCCACGGGGAAAATCAACCCAGGGCATCAGTATAATAAAAGTAGCCCGATTCCGTGGGAAAAAACGTGGACTTTGCAACCCTGCATCCAACACGAGCTTGACTGATCACGGGTCGAGAGTAGGATAGATGTCTGACAGACCATGCTGGAGTATTTGCTGCTCAACAGATCCTGAACTCACTGACAAATATCTGATCTTGTAAGATTAGATGTGCTCCTTGACCTTTACACAGAGTGCGTGTGAATGCGTAATCGAAAGTGAACAGCGAGCGCGCATTCAAAAGCGATTTCAATACCCGCATATTGATAGCGCAAAAATGATAAACAATATAAGAATGTTTGCGGGAGCGGCCACAAACATCGCGGGAGCGGAACACAGACGTTGTGGGAGCGGGCGGTAATAGTCAGAAATTCAGCGGGAGCGGCATTACGAAACAGTTCCGCGCAGAGCTCTGGAGCAGGCGGTAATGGTCAGAAATTCAGCGGGAGCGGCATTACGAAACAGTTCCGCGCAGAGCTCTACTCCAGACTATCCGCACATTTTATTTTTTAATAAAAACTAGACGCATTGTACACTGACGTAGGCCTGCTATTTATTTTTGTCTGATGAAAAAAAGACTCTGCCGGTTCTTTAAGGTGCATTGAAGGATTCAGTGTGTTTTCGTTTTGTCATCTTAATGTTAATTATTTAATTGAAAAATATTTAGTGTAGGCCTATTTATTTTATTATTTTTATTTGTTATTTTATTTAGTTTTTCTCTGTTCTCAGAAGTGCTGCAGGTGCGTGATAATTTGACGATGTGTGAAATTAATTAATTAATTCATTCATTCATTCAACAAGTAACGGTCGGGAAAATTAACCGGAATGAACATCCCTAAACCCAACTACTTGTAGTTAGGTACACTTTGATGTTGACTTGAAGCTTTTACAGTCCATACAGTTGTTACACAAATAGACAAAGACTGTCAGATAGATGCTAGCTGGTTGCGTTCTAGAGAGTTGCTAAAGCATTTCTAGGGTGTTTGTACTGGAGTGTTAGTAATCGTTGCGGATTCTGGTGAGTCGGGCGCTGTGTTGCTGAAGTGTATGTGAGTGGACACTGGACAGAATGTCAGCGTGGCTGACATGATGCTGATGAGAAACGTAAGCGTGCGCTTTGCATTCTTAGACTCATGCTGCTTGCATATTTTGCGTTATGCCTGTCTCTGGATGACACTTTATTAGTTGTGCAAGAATTTGCTTTGTATGTGAACACTTCAAATGAACCAGACCATGGGGTGCATTTTGGGAATGTAAAATGCTCCAGACTTGCTTTATTTTCACTTCCCCTAACATCATATATATGACTTTTCTTTGTTTCCTATACAGCCATGTTCAACCTCATCCCGGTTGGCTTGCGAGTGGTGGCCATCCAAGGAGTTCAGACCAGACTCTATCTGGCCATGAACAGCGAGGGCTACCTGTATACATCAGTAAGTAACTGCAACTTTCTAATGTAGATGTTTGTTTATGCGTACTATACTTCACTCCTTCAGCTGTTTTAAATCAAGAGGGGAAAGTCACAACAAACTGCTGCTCTCAGACCAACACCTGAGCTCTAGTCATTAACACTCACTCCACCAGTGCACCCAACTCTCATCTCCTGCCAAATCATGATATCAGACACTCCAGATAAACAGACCTCCTTGTGACCCAAGATCAAATGGTCACATAGCCTGTAAGATACGTTCCTGCTCCCGAACCCCTTACTGCGCTGAAAAAACTGTCACTCCCAAGAGCACGGCACGGTGTTTCACAGATTTATCCATATAAACAGATGAAGCATCCACTGTGCGCTAGTCTCACACCCTCTCTCCATATGGCATGCTGTCAGAAAATGAGTTAAGTTACAGCTGTGACAAATATGTCTGAAATGAAGAACTGTACTTATCCAGAGTGAGCAAAAGGGCTGGCAAAATCACTCTGGACCCCTCACATCCAGCACACTCCCTCTTTGAACTGTTGCCATCTGGTCGACGCTACAGAGCACTGGTTGTTTTTTTTTTTTTGTAGTAAATGAAGTTAACAGTTAGTAGTAAAAAAGTTAGTAAATGAAGAGAGTGCAAGTCTAAAAGGGGCAATTTTTTTTTTAAAGAATAGAATTAGAATAGAGCAGTGGTTCTTAACCCGCGGCCCGTCACGAATTCAAATGCGGCCCACCATGCTGAACACAATTAAAAAAATAACTTTCAGTTTTACAACTCATTTTAGTTTTTACATTAATTTAAAAACGTACTAAAGAAATATAAGCTAGAATGTTTTTGTTATGTAAAATAGTTTTGTTTTTCATATAGGCTATTTCAGACATGAGCAGACCTACTCACATAATTAACGTTACGCATTTAACGAACACTTCCAAGAGCGCACTTTGGCAGAATTTAATTAAAATAGTCATCAGCAGCCATTAGTTCGGTCAAATTGAGCATCAGAATGGACAGATTTGTTTTTAAGGGAGAAACACGAAATGTGGAAAATGCCAGCGAAGGAACACATACAAACAATAATAGTCGCAGTCAGTGGCGGCTTGTCGGGGGAGGCAGGGGAGGCACAGCCTCCCCATAATTTTGAGGTGAAAATGGGAGGAGGACGATTTCATGTTAATAAAATTCACAATTCATTTCAGTTCATGTCTCAGAATGTGTATTTTTTGTTTGTAATTTCACAGTTGTAATATCATAACGTGAAAGCACCGCTTTTCTATCGCAAATGTGCCGAATCTGCTGATGTAATTACAACCGCTAGGTGATAGAGAAGGGGAGGGGGAGGCCGGGGGAGAGGGGAGCTCTCGTGCCTCCGTTGGTAAAAAATTAGCCAATCAGCATCGAGTGTTCACTTTCAGCGCTGAGGAGTGTTGAGAAAA